TCTCATCTCACCCATTTCCTTGTCTTCATCTCCTCCCTTTTCTCCCTATGATCCCACTTCTCACCCCACGCCCTCATTTCCGGACACCCCTACTCATGTTACGCTCACCCCATCCCCTGTGTCCCTTCTCTAGCCTACCGTCCATCCCATTGGTAAACATCATAGAACAACATTTCCTTTTTTTAAAGAATCTCCCTCCCTCCCCCCCGCCGAGGTTTGGGTGTTTAAAAGGGAAAGTCAAAGATAGAGGAAGCTGTGGAGACAGAGAGCGCAATCCGGGCCTGGGCGGCCGCGCCGTTAATGTCCCGAATCCTGCCGTTTGAATTTTTAAAAATAGAAATCCCGTTTCCTGGCGCTCGTGGCCGCGCGCCCCTTTCTCGGGGTGGCTGGGAGGTGGGGGTTGGCGGATTGGGCACTGATATGCAAAGTAGACCCGATGACGTTGGACGCTGGATGCGCGCACGCTCCGTCAGCGCGAGGACGGTCTCCGGCTCGTGGGGACGCGGACGCGCGGGGGTTGATTTGGGGTTGGGCGGGGAGCGCTGGTGTGGTGACGCGGACGTACTGGACTGGTAGGCGGGACGCGCGGGCTTGTCTGGTTTGGTTGTAGTGGGAGGAAAGTCGCGGGGCCGCGCGGTGGTAGCCGCGCATACGCGCGCGCGGCATCGGATCTATCGGCGGGGTGGGGGGGTGAGTCGAGTGGAAGAGGAGAGGGAAGCGACGGGCACGCGCGGGGGAAGCCGGGGCTCCAACTTCTGGTGAGAGAGAAATAACACAAAGGGAGTGAATGAGGACAGGCGGCGAGCGAGAAGATTATCACAAGTATAAAACACGAGTGGAGCGCCGCCGGGGGAAGAGAAAAAAAAACCTATTTAATAAACTGTTTAAAAAAAAAACAAATTTTAAGTGGAGGAGATTTAGAAACGTACCACAGCGAATGAAGGAAAAAAATATTTTTTTTTAAAAAAAAGGAACACCAACAAAGTAAGTACGAAGAAAAGTGTCTGTGTGTGTGTGAGAGAGAGAGAGAGTCGGCGTTTAGGTCGAGTTAGAGGAAATTTGAGTGTAAATAAAGATGAAAGGACTGGGAGGAGGAGGTGGGGGGCAGGCGGTCAGCGAGATCACTAACTAGCAGGAGCTGAGGAGAGTGCGTTGCCGCTGGCTAAAGCAGCCATTAACATTTCATTAATATAGAGAGAGAGAGAGAACAGCGCTGTCCTTTTCCCTCACAGCCAGCAGTGAGTTTACTGTCTCTCTAATAAATGAGTGTCGGCGTCCTGTCCTCTATTTTGTGTGTGTGTGATGATTGTGGGTTTAGTGTAAGTTTCTGCTCTCTCTCTCTCTCTCTCTGTGTGTGGTTTGGGTACTTGGTGGTTCCCTGAGGTCATTTGGAGTGGACTCGAAATGGTTTGAACTAGTTTCTCACACGCACCGCGGCGGCGAGGGTCAGGGGGAGGCAGTGGGAAGAGGGAGGGAGGGAGAGAGAGAGAAGGCTCAAAAGGGACAGAGATAAAGGGGCTGGGGAGGGGACCAGATAAGGAGGGGAGCGGTTTTATAGATCACTCTTGCTCTTTTTTTTGAGAGGGGGAAGAAGATTCCACTTCAAGCTCAAACGGCGTGTTTAATGTTTCCGTTACTGTTTCCTTTGCTAGTCGTATTTGAGTAACCCACCAAAAGGCAGAGATTAAAAAGGCGCTTCTCTTTGTGGTCGCTCTCAGTCTTGGTTAGTTGTCGCTCACTCTTGGTCCAGCCGGTGGTTTTAATCTCTCCCCTTTTTTGATAATAGGGCAGAACGTGGTCTCTGAAAGACCTCGGCTCTTTCGCAACAGAATGGAGTGTGTAGTTGTTAAGCTGGGTTTTTAGTCACTTTGTGTCTCTTTAAAGCTCAAACCAAACGTGGAACTATGCAAATCGACTTTTTTCATTCATTCATTTGCTCCATCTTCAAAATTAGCCGATTGTTTCTCTTAAAATCTGGATGTGTGCGCGTGTTTCTGTGTATATATTTCAAAGCTGAGTTCATGAGGACAGAAAACACGTGCATTTGTGAACTAGTAAGGAGAGAAAAAAATCAAGGTGAAGGGGGGCAATAGGGAATGTTCAAGACAGGGGAAGATCCCACAGCTTTGAAGCACTCGCCCAACATTTCACTAACCACCATCATCAAGGCTTAATCATCCATGTTTGTCGTTGTCTTCGGCGGCAAGGACACACATTCACACATTGTAAACCTCTTTGTTCGAGGGGGTGGGGGGAAAGAAACATGCGCACACTTTTAAAATAAAAAAAACTTGCAGGTCAGCCTTCAGATTTGTGTTACCCGCTATAAGGCCAGTGAATTTTAGAACTATTTCCAGACGTTTCTCAGTAGACTAACTTTTTTTTCCCTCCTGAGAAGAACAGCTTCGTTTGTTTGGTCAGCGTTTTCTCTCTGGACAGGCTGTACACAAAGAATCGCTCTTAACCTAAGATGGCAGCTTAATTTGACTCCGGTCATTGACAGTAATTATAAGAAAGACTGGAGCTATCCTGTCTTTTGCTTGCGCCAAGTTTTTTCTCTCTTCCGTTGTCTTGAGTGATTCTTGATTTTTTTTGGGGGTGTATTAAAATCTTTATTTCCCGTAGTGGTGTAATATAAATTTTGATTTTGTTTTGAAATAAAACACAACCGTCTGCTTATGGGAAAAAAGTGACTTTCAGTACGTTGCAAATAATCGGCTAGCATGTTGAATGAGTAAGATTCAGAGAAATCTACCTGCCCCACATCGAGCTACCGTGCAAGGCTGCAGAGATCTCGCTTCCAGTTATGGAGGTGGAATACAGGAGTGTAATACACGGGTTATATTTATGAAATCGAGGTGCAAAATGACTCTTGATCCTAATATTATGTTAGATATAGTTAACCAAGCGAAATGTATCATCTGACGACTAGATAGATGCATGCCCCTGGCTCTAAAGACGGAGTGCTGTGAGCAGCCATTTAAGTTTTAAATGGGATCGACCCTCAATCTTTTGTTAGTGATGATGTGGTATGTTTGTATTTTTTTTCTTTATATGCGGTTTTACTTTTTCGAAAAAAAACGTTTACAAGTATTTTGAAGGACAAGGCTGATGTTTGGATTTAAGAAGATTAATTTCGCTCATCACTCGTGTTAAATGACCTAAATTTGTTATATGCTAATAGTATTTAGTGATGCGTGTGTATATTTATATATCATGAAGCTTTACAAATATGAGTTACGTTAGGAAATCTCTGATTCTCTTTTAGGATTGTAGGATCAATTACAGACGAAGTAGCCGAGTTATGAGTCTGGCTAGATGATGAGAGTTACTTCAGTACTTTAACTTATTTTGTATTCCAAATCAGCCTTGAATGTTAACTTTTATGAAATGCCTTGTAGAGCTTTTGCAATAGTTTACAGAGCAGCATAGGGATGCATAGATACAGATATTTTGTGTATGTGACGGATGGTAAGCATTCAAATAAGCAGCATATTAACCTTGCTTTTTATTTGCTTTCACGCATGGGGAGCTAGTTATTTTTTGTCCAAGCTTTTGGCAAGTGCCCTTCACGAAACTGAACTACAGTGTTGACAATCTACAATAGCATATAGTCTGGTATTTTGGTATTGCCCTGGAGGATTACCCTCTGTAGTGCCTTTATAATATCCTCCAAATCTGGTGGCAAGAAAGGTGGTTCAACAACAGCATATCCTCTCCAAACCAATGTGTCCAGCAGCAAGGAACATATCACAGCTCTGTTGTTGAAAAATGATGTTCACATACCTTGCACCAGACTTCTGGAGCAACTCTGTTGTTTGAAATTCTGCCATGGCAGGAGATTGCCACAAGGATACTTTAACTGCTTTAGGGTTGTCTCAAAGCATTGCTGAGGAGCTCAATTTACCTGCACTGACTCGGGCAAGACCCTGACTTATGGCTGACAAAAATGAGGTCTCATTTTGGAAAGCACTGAACACAGACTTTGGAAAATACATACGGCAAAGTTTAGGTGTTGGAGGGAGGGCAAAATCCCCATACAACCCATTTAGCCAACCTTTCAAGCACCACCTGACCCAAATATGGTAGAATCCCAGGTTGACTTTTCAGCCATTTCAGAACATGTTGAATTGGGATAGAGGCAGCTCCTTGATTCAACAGTACCACCTAAGAAGATCAACATGGTTTGGAAATCTTCAATTGTAACTGCCATATATTCCTGAGATAAATGTAGATGTAGATATAAAGTAGAATGTTGAGTTTCTTGCACACCTTTTTCTTTAATTTAAAAATATCATAAACAACTGAGATAAGCACTTTGAGAAAACATTGGTGCTTCATTGAACACGTATTTATTCATTCATTGGATGTGGACTTTGCTAGCAATGTCATTTATTGTCCATCTCTGAGAAAATGATGGTGAACTGCTTCTTTGGATACAGTATTGTGGTATGCTAGATTTCAGAAGGCAGTTTGAGTCAATTGCACTAATGTTAGTCTGGTGTTTTGTATAGGATGGACTGGGTAAGAGGGCCAAATCTCTTTCCTAAAGAGCAGTAATGGACCACTGGGATTTTGCAATAATCTGGCCACAATTGCTGATGCTAGATTTTTTTTAAAATTCCAAATTTTGATTTAATGAATTTCAATTCCCTGGATGCAGTTAGTAAGATTTGAGTGCATGTGTCTGAATCATTAGTCTAGGCCTTTGGATTACTAGTCCAGTAATCTAGCTCATATGCTACCTTTTTATCTATTCAAAGATTTATATTTTTTGTGTGAAGTATTGAATTTATGTATCACAGCTTTTTTATATTTGACGTAGAGTTTTAGCTTTAGTTCTGAAATTATAAGATACAGAAGTTGAATTGAATAACGTGTGTCAAGTTGAACATAAAATAGTCGTTCTGTTTCCACAGATGATGTAAACATTGAAACTGAGGCTGAGAAATGATGCACACAGCTTGGTTCTATAGATCTATTAAAGATTGTATAGTTAATGGTGAATAATATTTGAATCATTTTAGATTATGTGTATCGTATGTGACATATTTTCTGATGTTTACAACATGCTGGATATCGATACTGTGTTCAATCTGCAGCCTCTCCAGTGTCAATAGGAGAGAAGAACCAAAATGTGTAACAAAGTGAAATCATATTTATGTTTCATGTTGAATGAGTCACTACATCAGTTCCTCCCCAGCCACCTCTGTTGAAGGGATCGGAACGTAGAAACAGGAGTAAGCCACTCGGTGCGTCTGGCCTGCTCCTCCATTCACTCAAATCATGGCTGATCTTTCCATCAATTCTCTACCTACATGTGTGCCTCTAAGGAGAAGCCAAATAGGTACGTGGAGAAAGGAGTGGAAGAATATGCTTGTACTGTTAACTGAGTTATAGTGGGAGGAGTCTTGTGTGGAGTAGAAGCATTGGGATAAGCCAGTGGATTAAAGTACACTGTGCTATAAATTTAAGTCAAAGTTTCTTTAATTACCAAAAACCAAGGTGTACATATAAAGCAGCTAAATAAAGAGATATTCAGATTTAAGGTTTTATCTTTTTAAAAGTTTAAAAACTTTGTTAACTATAAGTGGAGTAATTTAGTGAAAACTGCAATGAAATCTTGATGGTGTTAGTTATATTAACAATGTAAATCATACAGAATTAAAATGTAGAACATTTAGACAGTGTACTTGTTAGTAAACATTTTAGGTAATAGCATTTGATAGAGTAGGTTCTCAATTGTTTCTTTTTGAACAAGTTGTTTGGAGATTATCTGTGAAAGGCTAAAATTTGCTGTAACTCTTGATTCTAAAATAGCTTAAGGTAAGGAATTCACAAATGATCTCCAGATTAAATCTACGAAATTATGAATTCAGAAATCAAGAAAAGCTAGGTCTGTTAACTTTTTTAAATTTCTTCCATGAACCTTCAGATTGGCAGCTTGCTTTTGAACTTTCAAGTAACTGCATCCTCCGCACACC